AAATAACAAAGTTAAATGGACTAAGCAATACATGTAGGAATACTGGACACCTCATGCATTGTCATTAGAAATGTCTTACAAAATCTTACAGTTTTACTGCTCAATTTTAAAAAGCTTCATAAATAGACCAGCAATGTAGTTAAAATGAGACAACATTATCAAATCAAAACATCAAATGTGCGTATCCCACTATCAGGCTAGCCATGTAAACATAAGCTTAAAGAGAATATTTATTTATCTATTTATTAAAGGTGTTTATATAGCACCATCAATTTACGCAGCTGTTCACATAGTTGTACATTCATATGGAATAACCCCTGCCCTCAAGGGGCTTACAATCTAAGGTCCCTTTCTCACATGTATACATACAGGGCCGATTTAGACAGGACTCAATTGACCTTCCAGCGTGTCTTTGAATTGTGGGAGGAAACCGGAGTACCCATAGGAAACCCACTGTGCTGCCCCAAAACCGAAAAGCAAATATGTAATATAATGTGGTCAGGTACCTGTAGAAATGTGCCAAGAAGTCTGGAGGGCATTACATATGTGGTAAAGAGGCTCAGGAATAACAAATGTGGCCATCTGGTTGAGCACATGGAATTTGTGGAGCAATGAACTTGGTAAAATTGGTTCGAGAGTATGAGATTTGGCTATTTAAAAACTAGCATGCATATATTTTGTTGTTTGGCTTGGTCAAGGTATTATACCTACACAGCAAACAGCTGTGTCCTTTTTTCCCTTTTTCTTTCTAGACAAAGACAATAGATGCCAGTAGGTCATATCACCCACCCATGTCCACCCTAATATGAATAGTTTTTCTGTGGGTACAGCCTTCAATTATATTCTTAAAATCTGAATACACACAAGAATACATAAGGCCTTTACTATGGAAACCTGTGCAATCTTAGAATGTTCTATACGCTATGTGCAATATGATATCAGTAGTACTGAATTATACAGCTTAAAAGAGAGAAACAGATGCAAGAGCTTAAGTGGAACATAAATGTGGATGCAGGGGTTTTTTTTTTTTCTTGTTTGATCTATAAGCCTCAAGTGGTAACATATAAGTAAGACATGTTAAGCACTACACAACATATTAAGTGTCACAAACAGCTGGTAAAAACTGGAATGATAGCTGTATTGCACTTCTCAGTTGCAAACTTTAAAGTCATTGTGCATCTGTATGCAATAAAAGAGAAATATGACAGTCTTTGGGAAGTATAAAGTAAAAAATATTACTTTTTTCAACAATATCAAATACTATACTTTTGAGCAATGTAAAAGCAGCAAATTCTTATCTGTGGAAGGTGGCTTAGTCAAAAAGTAATCATAATATTAAACGTGAGCTTAAAAGTCTACGGTAGAGGAGAACCACAATTTTATATGAAATGGAGGTATGGAAGAGATTGTCAACTTCTGAAAAGAAAATGAAAAACCAATTATTTTATAAGGGGGGTTATTCATGAAGGAGTCGAAGGATCCAGCTGTAGCTTCGGATGATCCTTCGGCTCTCTTCGGCCGCCCGAGCCCTTCGGTTCAGTTGAACCAAAGGGCTGCTGTACGAGCTATTCACTATACTATTCACAGCTGAAATGAGCCATACAAGGCAGAAGTGAATAGCCAAACAGCGCTCGGCTCACTTCACTTCGGCTCGGTTATTTACTCGGCTGCCATTGGCAGCTTTGTGAATAACCCTAATAGTAATAAAAGCTACCCATGTTCCATTTCCCCAGCAAAGGTCTAAAATAGTATTCTCAACCAGTGTGCCGCCTGAGTGTACCAGGGGTGCCAGGGCAAAATCCATCTGAAAATTCCCCAAAAAGTTTTTCTATAGACTGCGGGTGTCCCAGCTTGAGTCTTAGCAACTGATGATGTCATCCATCGCTATAAATGCTGTCGGAGGCCACAGTCTTAAACAGTGGCTGTCAACAGTGTGTTTAGCGATGGAAGACATCATTGGTTGCAAGGAATCAGTTAGTTGCTTCCTGGCAACCAATTAAGTCTATGGGGAGGTGGCCTGAGCAGTATAGCAGAAGAGATGGCAGCCAGGGAGGGCCGGTGTAATGGAGGGGAGCTTGTGGGTCCCAGAGCGTGTTCCACGGCCAAGCTCAGTGTACTGTGCTGCATTGCTCTGCCTCCTTCTCCTGCAGAGTGATCTCCTCTGATGTCCGCTAGATAGTTCCGGCTTGGACGTCACAGCAGACACTGAGGAGAAGGGGATAGGGGCACAAGGTATGCTTTCATTGTGGGGGCCTGGGGGGACAGTGGGGAGCAGAACAGGTGTGGGGCTTACTGTCGCTAAACCATATAATAAGACTTTTAATTAAACTCTTATTGTATGATTTATCAAGTAGTACAGTACATGAATATATTAGTAAAATCTGTATTTCATTTACACTACAAATCACTGAACAGGCCTGCAGCAAGTGTTCAGTGATATGTAGTATACATGAAATGCAGATTTTACTAATATATATCCGTATACTGTACTATTTGATAAATCATACAATAAGGTTTAAATTAAGGGCCCACTTACACTGGTGCACGCACTACTACTACCTGCAGCGCACCGTAACACACTGTATTGCGGTGTGATCAAGCACATAGCGGGCGGGAGGTGTGCTTGGGGTTCCTCAAGATTTTGCATAGTTTAAAAGTGATTCAAAAAGGTTAAGAAACACTGGTCTAAAAGATTCAGCTTTGGCTAAAATGAGGTCACTGGTGTAAGGAACTTTGGATGTGACTTGATTAATGTGTATTGATACACACTTCAAAACTTTATTTTTTATTTATCTAATAAGCAAATGCTGTGAGACAGGAGTTAAGTTGCTTGCTCGTCTTCTCCACTGATTAGATTTTTTTTTTAATGCAACCCTCCCATCCTTTTGGATCTCCGCTTTTGTTAGAAATCTGTAAGAGCTTGAGGCCTAATACTAACAGTTTTATCTATGGCAAGATACCTGTAAAGGTACCACTCATCTAACAGGGATGCTGGGGGGATTAAATATTTCTTACTGCAGCACTGAATTGATCACGTGATTGTAGCAGGCATATTCTCTCATTCACCACACCATTTCAGCAAGTCCACTAGAATGGCCTATCCTAATACAACAAATACAGAAAGATCTGCAATACAGTTTGGAAAGCTTATTGCAATTTTTTTGTTAACCTAGAGGACATTGTTTACTGTAGTCATGAGTGCCTACATACTTTTTTCCTGTTACAATGAGACCACAGTATGGATGGGCTGTGGAAAACTCAATAATCTTTACAGCAACCATAAGCAAAAGAGGTTAGCAAAAACACATTTGTGTTGGTGGGTGTGCCTAAATTGTAAAGGATGTGGTGCTTAACATCACCTTTTCAAATACCTTACAACCATCATACCTGAAAAAAACTTATCTTCCCCACCTGCCTCCTTTGTAAGACATTCTATGTTTACTTTAAAGATTTTAACAAGAAAATGTGGATATTGGCACTGGAAGAAGTCTCGCCATAGCACACCGGTGGCTGCTAATGGGGGCCAAGTAGAGGGAGGGGGTGCCTGGTCAAGGGATATGAGGAGGTGGGTGAAAGGAAGATCTCCTATTCTTACCTGCCCATTCTGCTTTTAACCAGTTAACTTGTACAACCTGGCACCATCCAGACCTCCACCAGGACAGGACCCACTGTGACTGCTCACTGACTTGTCCCTGTTATTTGTAAACACAGAAGCGGGCAGAAGAAGTCTTCCACTACACACTTCCTCTGTGGTTCTGACTAATGAGATCATTTAATTTAGAGTGCGGAAGAGGATGTGGGTAGTGGAAGACTTCCTCTGCTGGCTTTTGTGTTTACAAGTGACAGCAACTATTGGGCGAGCTATCATAGTGGGCTGTCACAATGGTGACACACTGATGGAGGTCTGGAAGAGGTCAGTCTAAGCACCATCAGTAGTAATCCATTTTTGAAGTATTTTGTAATCACTGTTCACTTTGTGTGTGCCTTTGTTGTACCTTCCCTACTGCACACCTCCTTATTCTGCATGATATGTTGTACATTCCCTATTTCACAACACCACATTGCATATGTCATGCTCTAAATTCCCTACTGTGCACCTCCTCATTATGCATGTCCCCATTCCGCATTGCCTCATTCCATATGCTGCGTTGTTTATTCCATATTCTGACCTGCCTCCTTGCATTTGACCTGCTGTACATTTCTTATTCCACAATGCCTCATTCTGTATGGTAACCTGCACAACCCCTATTTCGCAATGACTCATTCCATTTAACATGCTGTACATTCCCCTATTCCGTAATGCCTTATTTTGCATGCCATGCAACACCTCTATTTGACATGCTGTACATTCCCTATTTCTCCTTTTGTATGCCATGCTGTACATTCCCAGTTCTTATTCCATAGTCCATACTGTATGTTTCCTATTCCGCGCTGCTCCATTCCTATGCCATGCTGTATATTCCCTTTTCCTCACCTCCTCATTCTGTATGGCGTGCTGTTCATTTTACATTTGACATTGATCCATACTGTATGTTATTCTGTACATTTTATATCTCATGCTTTCCTATTATGTACACTGGGCTGGGAATTTTATATTCCACATCACCCCATTCTATACATTGTGCCATATTTTTTATAAACCACACTCTCCTAATCTTTATGCCATGCTTTACATTCCCTATTCCACACCACTTAGTTCTAAACATGTGCTATACCCACACTCCCCCTCCATAATATCACTGACGCATCCTTTTTTAGTCCTTCATAACCTGATGTTGTTGGGGTTTTTTTTTTCCATTTTGGGGGGCTGTTAAAATGTTTGCTATGGGACTGTTTTTTAGCTATGCAACTGGATATCAGTTGCTTAACAGCAAGTTTTACTGTAGGCAAAGGAAAAGTGCAAAACAGTAGTGAATAAGCAATGTACCAAACAAGTATTCTGGTGGATCAAACCAGACCCACTTTTGTGAGTTTACTGATCATATACCACCATCACTTACTTGCATATATCACCTTCTGGGTCTTCTAGCCCAAATTTTTCATCAAAGGTCAGTTGTATCCGTACATGTTCCTCCAGTGCAACCAATTTCCATACCAACACAGTTTCTCTTGGATACGTGTGGGGAAACCGGGGGCTGTGAATGGATCCATTAAATGCAACCGAAATAATCTTCTCATGCTGGTGTTCCTGCACTCCTACAGCAAATAAGTAGATAAGAACAGTGAAAATGCCATCAAAAGAGCACTAGTATCAGTCTGAATGGTCATCTTTCACAGATGGAACTATATGTGCTTGACAAAACATAGTAAGAAAAAACATAGCAGTACGTCCGACAAGCAGACCTCTAACTAACTTTCACAGAGTGAACAATAAGGATTTGAAGAACACACATGTATGTAGTTTACACACTCCTCTCACCTTTCCCCATTAACCAAAATCTCTCTCTGAATATTAAAATGGTTTGTGCCCCTAATATACAAAAAAAAAGAAGTCATAAAATAGCATTTTGGCTTAAGAGTTCACATATGGGGGATTTTTTTGAAATTGTACTGATCTCTACTCAAAGCTTTAAAGTACATTTGTAGCCAGGGTAAATAACCAATAAACGTGCTTTAAAACAAACCCTCATTGACCTCGGCAGCTTAAGATACTGTGGATAAATTCATCCTTGACAGAAGCTTTCCTAGCTAATGTTGTTCCCGCTCACAGGGCACAGAGCAACTTAAAAACAAAACTAGGGAATATCTACTGTAGGTAGTAAATTAACTATCTACACATAGAAATGTGGCCTAACCTACAGAGAAATGAATAGAAGATCTAACTAAATAGGGTACTTTAACTGTACTTTGGAATGGAACAAACCATATAGTCCAAATATAATTCTACACAATTGTTGTCACTTGTTTATTTTCATATACTTGTCTAATGGACTAAATGACCTGTAAAAGACCTTAAACCGCAATATTCAAAGGAAGTTTGCTGAAAATATGTATCTGCCTAACAGAGTACACGATTTCTCTGTTTCAAATGTATAAAAAAAAGGAGATCTTGTCACAGTCAGGATGAGGCAGGGACTTCCATGCTGCAAGGAGAGCCTTATTCTCCCAGATTAGTGTACAGAAATTTGAACTTTACTGAGATTAGGCATGGGCTACCTGTACATTTTGGCAGAAAAAGTTCTCATGGCTGAGAGTAACAGACACACTGGGATGTCGTGTAAGAAGGAGGAATAAGGCATGCACTAGTATCAGTCTGGTTGGATCAGTTCCACTGTTCCAGACTGTTATAGCAACCAGGTTTAGTGACTATAAGGCTAGCGTTTAAACTATAAAGCCTGCATTTATTGCTTGAAATGGATTACGCCTGTCATTTTCATGTGACGCACGGTGTAGTCTTTGAAGTGCAATGTTCCAACTGATTTAGTTATTTTCATACAGATTCTTTCCATAAAACAATCTAAATGCAAGTGCTGCAACAAGCCATTTTAACTTTTTGATTTAGGAATGGTGCTATGATGAACTCAAAGACAATGATTAACATGTATTAAAAACCCAAGAAACAAAAATTTATATATGGCAGCTTACTAATGTTTAGGTGTGGCGCCTGTATGTGTTTCCAAGCTTTTTTCTTAATTTTGATCTGGTGATTCTGCCACTAACACACTTCCTGCTCTAGAGTGACAATGCCCACTCACTGTACTGTGTCTATAGTGGAGCAACGTTGTCATCCTAGAACAGGTTAGGACCATAGAACACACCCCTCCACCTTCTTTTTTCCAGAACAAAGGAGGGAGGTGTATTGTAGTCAGCAGAAACAGTTGGGGACAACATTACTAATAAGAGCAGCACAGTGTGTACAGAACGTTATCAGTTCACAGAATGTCTGGCAGGATCATTTGTTTTTGTCTTTTTTTTTTCACTTACTGAACCAATATAACAAAACATTTTCAATTGTATATTAGCAGACTAAATGGAGAAAACAAGAAAGGTTCATTGTTAGAATTGACAATACCTAGACTTAAATATTAGAAATGAAAAAGCAAAGTTTTTGCCAGGAGCAGCCTATCAAACTTCACCTTTCATTTGGAGGAAAAATGAAACAGGAACCCTGATTGTTCTTTGTGGGCAACAATACCACACTTGCACTCATTTCCTTTTCTTAAAATTACACTAAACTCAGGAGGTAAAACTCAAAAATACATTCAAGTACCTTAACTATTAACAAAAATATAGTTTATTTCTGTATCATTCAGCTGTAGATCCTCAAATCATCTCTGAATTCATGTTGACACTGTCCTTCCTTCTAGAAGGTGGCTACTTTTGTAACCCATGTGTGTGTTGTAAAGTAGCCCCCGCTCTAAGCTCACTCCTGCAATGGACTACAATCTCAATACAAATTAGAAAAAATAAACATGACATTGTAGTCCATCACGGGAGCGAGCTTGGACCGGTGGCTACTTTACAACACACACAGGGAAACTCCTGAGTTTAGTGTCACTTTAACTTTCAATGAATCAACCCCACAATGCTTTTTTGCTGTCTTAGCTGGGAAGTGTTGAACTAGAGTGACACACAACTATTATTCACAAAGCATAGAGTATGTATTATGAGGTTTGTGGTTTCTGGGTTAGAGAGGATGTTTGCATTGCACCTGCCCTTACTGTACATATCCGGCAGATAAAAGAATCTCTCTTAAGTCTGTCCCAGATTATAACAAATTAAAAGAAAACCTTTGTTGCAGATCAAACAAGCTGTAATGCTATAACTTCCACTTTAGAAGACTCCATACAATATAGAAGTGTTAAAATAACAAAAAAAGTGAAACTTTGTAAGTATTTATTTGTCATATAAATTTGCTGTTGCATTTAATTTTAAACTTGGCTTACAGACAAACCCTTTATAACACATACAGGTCAATTGCTGTGAGTATTAAATAGGGGCATTTTGCTTGTTGTTATGCTTAGTCTAAAGGTCTGTTCTGTAACTAAAAACTAAACTAAAAAAAACTGTAACCAAAAAGCACATACAGTATATGGTTATATTGTCTCTATGACTACTCACTGGCAACATAATGGGGTTGATTTACTACAGGCAAATAGGCTGTTCACTTTGCAAGGGAATTTGATATTTGCAAGGGAATTTTTCCTTAGTTTAGTGGATGTGGTGAAAATTCACTTTGAAAAGAATATGCAATCACATGCAAGGGAAAAAAAACAGCATTGGTCCTACCTACAGCTCTGACACTCTTACTGACTCAGAGTTTTGTCATAACTTCAACAGAAACCTGACCAGTTTGGACAAGCTCTGCACCTCGGACACCCCACTTTAATATCTAATCTCCAGTCAATACCAGACAATACTAGAACCCTCGACTCCAGTATTAAATCCTAACTGCACGAAAGAGGAACATGACCTAAATTCCTCCTTCACGGATGAGGACCGAGAGCACATAAACCTTAACATCTCACAGGGATTCATTAACTTTAACATTCAGGAGAACAACTTTAAAATCTCCTGCCAGTGGTATAGAGATCTGCATTTACTGCATAAACTATATCCTTCTTGAGACAGTTTGTACTGGAGATGTGGGAGGAAGAAGGGTACCTTCTTCCATGTGAACCTGTCCACTCATATAAACCTTTTGGCATGATGTGGACAGACATATTCTAGCAATCACAGGTGAATTAGTACATAATATCCCAGTCTTGGCTTTACTATATGGCAATAAACCCCCCGTACACAAATACAGGAAAAAACCTATAATTCCTTATCTTGAATGCTGAAAAATGTTTATCCTAGTCTATTGGAAATTACCTCATCCCCCGTTATTGATCAACTGCTACTCCAGGATCAACAAAATATCTGAAATGGAGGAAATTATTCACATATCTAATGACACACTACCATAATTTACTCTTACATAGACCTGTTGGCCTGGGTGCAACCGCTGCGTATAACCAGAAAATGCCACCTAGCTTCTTTTCCACCTTAACACTTTTGTCAGGATGCCTGTGTGCAAATGGTACATCTCTGTACCATTGCTTTGCTGTACCTACATTTCCTATCGTGCAATGGCTTCTTTTATTTGTATCTCCTAACCCCGCCCCCCCCCCTCAAATATTTCCCCTCTTTTTTTTCTCTTTCTTCCTTCCTACCCCCCTTTCCCTTTTCCCCTCTTTCGCAATGGCCACGTATTCCCCTTAGTTCTGCTACACTTATAAATTCCTAACCAAGGTATACTCTACCAAGTATGCATCCTATAATGGGCAGTACATACTCTTTGCTCACCTCTGGGGTGCATGCAGAGATATACAGGGTTCTGCAGACATGTCTCACACACCAGACCAACATATTTTCGTGACACATGTATGTCCAGTGGCCTGCAGTTCCCTGTTAGGCTGGCCATATACTGCTCTATTTTTCTTGTTCAACCCACGGGCTGAACGGAAAAAAAAGAGCAAATTCCTCCATCAACAGTACGTGTGTGTGGATCGAGCAATCCCCGCTGTTCGTATTGTACTCTGACAGCGGCCGCGCATTGGCTGCCCGCTCTGTTTGTACGAAGATTTTGTGACTGGCTCCTTCAATCAGCTGATCGAGGGATGCCAGCCGAAAGGGTTCCCACAGCGGCACTCACTGTGCGAATTTCGGCTGGTTCCTTAAGAACCTGCCGCAATTCGTACATTTTATGGCCACCCTTAGACATCTTTGTATGTGCCTCTTCTGCAATTGATTCTCTTGTACCATATACCTCATCATAGAGCTATCTTAGAATGGAGTTATTGCCTCCAAGACCCTACCTCACTGTTGATGTACTTTACTTTCTGATATCTGATTATTTGAGCCCCCTAGACAAAACAAGCACTCAAAGGAGAACTATGGGGTCAGTGTTTTTCCCCATAGTTCTCCTCAGGGTCACGGGAGGACAACAACTAGCATCCTCCCATGACTAAAAGCTCAGTATACCGTGAGCAACAGCTCGCAGTATACTGAGACCGCCGCAGCGGGGACAGATCCCGACATTACTGTCGAGATCCACCCAGCTGCATGATTGACAGCTGGCTCTGCCTATCTAGAGGCAGAGCCAGCTGTACCCGCCCCCTCCCTAGTTCCTTCCTCCAGTGGAGCGGGGAGGGGGGAATCCCTGCAGTGAGCCGTGAGTGACAGTCATGGCTCTCTGCAGGGACAGGATCGAG